GGCGGAGGTCACGCGCACACCCTTGCCGCTCTGCTGGCTGACCTGCTGCCCCCACCACTTACTGTGACCTGATTTAACCTGAACAATCCCTCGCTCTCCCACCGCCATGGAGATCAGTGTCATCCCGGAGCAAGGGCAGCCCTCTTGCCATCATGAAAGGAGAAACCTGGAGCTTCACAGCTGCCCAAGGGGTCTGCGGGGCCTGCGGGCCACCACAGTCCGGCAAGCCACCTGCCGGGCTGGGAGCTGCCTCCAATCCAGAGGCCCTATTAGGGAGGTTCTGAGCAACTACCTCCTGGTTCTGGACCCAGAAGCCCAGACTCCTGCCAGCCCTGGGTTCCTTGTCCAGCGGGGGAAATTGTTCCCTCCCTGCTCTCCTCGGGCGCTTGTTCTGGCTCAGACTGCTGTCTCCTGGGCCTGGTCCCCACATTCGTCTGGCGCCCAGGGTAAGTGGAATAAGGAGCACAGGGGTGGCCTTCCTTCCCCTTGGCTTCTCCTTCCCACAGGGAGATCAAGCGCCCTGGATGCAATCTGGAGCCTGGGCCCGTCCTGACTCTGTGCCCCACATGGCTTCCTCTCCCTCCGGGCTCAGGGCGCGCAGACTCAAGGCCCAGGCCACTCACCACACCTGGAAATTCAGAGGTAGCAGGTGTGGTCAGAGCCCAGGTTCTTAGGTGCTTTCGAGCATGTCAAGTGGTCCCAAGCAGGCGGTCTGCATGCACCCTGAGAGACACTTATCTGAAAGACAAGACTAGTTTCCCAATAATGGCGGGGGCGGGGGGGTCAGTGATAATTGAGCCAGAGAGGAAAGAGAAAACAATGCCTCTAGTCATTTGTATTCATTTCCTCTAGAAAGAATTACTGAATTTTCTAAGTCACATAGCCCCACCCTTTTCTTCATCCTCCCCAAACAAAGAAAATTGGGCCCTGGAGGAATGGTCACTGGCTCAAGAGCTGAAGGCACATCTCTTTGGGTTTAAATGACTCCTTCCTTCTAGAATTCTTCTAGGATTACAACTGGTCTACATCACCACGATTTTGCAGGCACTGGGGTAGAATGCCTGGGCCACCCAGTGCTGGCCCTCTGAGCTGCCAGCTGGGCTAGAAGGACCAGCCGACCTGACTAGTCCTCACCCAGCCCACCCTTTACCCAGCCAGAGGGTCCTGTAGCCCCCAGGCCACAGCGAGGGGCCCACCTTGCTGCTCCCCTAGCTTCTGCTTTCCTGTGGCTTCTGTCTTGTGGCACTATGGTGGCTGGCTCATTTGTCCATCTGCCCTGCTAGAATGTTAGCTCTCAGGACAAGGACAATTTCTGTGTTGTTTACTTCTGTGCCCCAACAAAGTGCCTCGTATGGAACAGGCCCTCAGAAAATGTTTATCAACAATAGCAATGACACTTGTTTACTAAGCGTGGAGAAAGGGCCGGATGCTTTGTAGTCCATGACAAATCTGTCCTCAGAACACCCCCCTAAGGCTGTAGGTATCCCTGTCTTACAGGTGAGGAAACAAAGGCTAAGAGAAGAAATAACTTATTTAAGGCCTTGGAGCTAGTAAGTGGCCGAGTGGAATGGATCCATCCTCAGGGATGAGGTCTCTGGAGTCCTTACGCCTACGACCCTCTTTCTGAACTCCACGGAGTTGAATTCCACAGCAGCGGGCGGTCCTCAGGTGGCTCTGGGGCCTCAGCTCCCCTGGGCTACCCAAGGAGAGCCCCTCCCTCTTCTGCCTCGAAGTCTGTGCTAAGTGCCTGGCAGCAAAGACCTCTTCAGAAGAGAGAAACTGCCTGGGTCCCCTCCCTTTTGGAGCGAACTGCCTCAGAGCATCACAGAGGACACAAAGAAAGGCCAGGCATTGAGAACATCGTTGGGAATGAGGCTGAGGACATTATGAAGTTCAGCCTCTCCCTTCCAGGTTTCCTTTCCTGTTGGCCTAGTGGGAGAGCGCCACACCCCATTGGGTGCTGGAAGACACTCCACAGGCCTGGGAGTGCCAGACCCCTCAGAGCGCAGTCTGACTGCCAGGGTTTTCTCCCCACTGCAAAGAAGGAGGCTGAGGGACCCAGGAAGAGCGTCTGGGAAAGTCACAGAGGCCCAGGGATAGAGCAAGCCCTCGCTGCTGGACACAGGGAGGTTGGCCCCATACTGTCCCTCCCGCTCTCCCCACCCCAGGGTGCTCTGGGAGGCTCATTCTTCAGTTGGGTTACCAGTTGGCTTACGTAACAGTGTTACTGGCGAGCCCAAGGCATTTGCTGATTCTTCCAGGAGCTGGTGAAAGGCTAACGGCTCATAGCCTTAGTTTCCAGGAAAAAAGGGGAGGGGTGAGCGGGAGAGAAAACAGGCCTTGGAAAGGCAGGTTCGGAGGAGGGCGGGAGCGCGCCTCAGGAGAGGCAGCACCAGAGCCCTTCTGGGTGGGAGGGGAAGGAGATGAAAAGTGGACAGCTGGCCCAGCCTGGCCAGGAGGGGGCCCAAGAAGGCAGTGGGCGGCGGTCTGCACTCGAGGATGGACGGACAGATAGACAGACTGCACCAATGTGTCCTGCAGTAAATTGCCACCTTTGCTCAGCTTAGCCCAAGCTGGGCTCTGCAGCCGCACAGTGTGCTTGCAGCTGTCACCAGCCAGCACTTCGCTCCAGGCCCTAAGCTCTGGGGATTCCAGATGAGCAGCCTTGGGACAATGTGGGGACAGGGATGGAAACGGCTGCATTCAGGAGAGGTGTAGCCTCACACCGGCCTGTCCACTCCAGTTTGTATGTGCACTGAAGTACTTATCTTTACCTGGGTAGGTTCAGCTTCTGATCACAGAAATGGCAGGGGCTTTCCATTGGTTTCCATGGAAACATTAGGCAGAGCATCTGCTACCCGATCTAACAAGGCTAGGCTGGTGGGACTCTTTCTGCAATTATTTTACTGTTTCTACCCAGGAAGATGGTCCCACCTGCATTTTACCACTGCCTCCTTGTGTGCTGGAGGCAAAGGGCAGTTCAGAGGGGCCAGGGTGGGCGCTCAGGGAAGGAGAGGGTTGGCAGAGGCCAGCATTTGGAGCAGCCTCTTGGTTTCCATTTCAAAGCCCCTGTAGTGTCCCTCAGTGAGGTCACAGGAGGCTGGGCTGTGGTCCCAGCCAGCCTCAGCGGCAGGGCCACCTGCTGGCTCCCCCCAGCGCAGCCAACCTGTCGTCCAGAGATCTCGGGGGTCCCATGGGGCACGTACGTCAAGGATCAAACTCTCAGGGGCAGGAGGGGTTAGACTTGAGTGTGTTCAGTTTCACTTTTACAGAATAGAGGCCCCAACTCCCCTATGAGGCCGGGAAGGTAGGTAGCACTGAGGGGTTTGCTTCTGGAGTCAGAAAGGAAGGCTCTGGTGCACGTGTATGTGTGAGAAGTGGTTTTATTCCAGGTGTGTGTTTCATAAAGACGAGGTCCTCGAGGACAGCTAGTGGCACATGCTTTGGTCAAGAAAAGGAAAAGCAAAGACGAATAGGGCCGAGTCCCACAAATGGCGGCTGACGAGTGCCGAGCCTGGTCTGAGCCCAGGCCGGGAGGGGCCTCTCTAAGACTCTCTGAGCAGCAGTCCCCCTGCATTCAAGGGAAGACCCCACTCCCCATCCCCAAAGTCCTCGCTGCCTACCAGGGTTACACGCACCACGCAGATGGCGGCGCATGAAACATCACGACGGAGGCCGGGAGAAGCGTGGCCCCCCTGCTGGCGAGCCCACAGGGTGCGCGGTGCGACACAGGGGCTCTGCCGAGAGGATGCCAGCGAGAGCCAGGAGTGGGAGGACACCACGGAGGACCCTCCAGGCTGGTGCTGCGGACCAGCGACCCTTGGCTCCTGGCCCCAAGGGCTGCATGGAGGAGGCAGGCGACAGCAGTTTAGGCACAGGAGGGAGGGAGATGGGGCACGGCAGCCCACGTGGACAGTGGCTCCAATCCAGAGCAGAGGTTCAAACCCTCTGGGGATCAAGGACCCCTGTAGGCAGCTGGGGAAGTCCATGGACTCTCTTCCCAGGACAATGCACATATGCACACTCATGCACTATTTGAGGGGACAATTTCAGGAGGTTCCTTGGCCCTCTGATATCCATAAACTCCCAAGGGGTCTCAGGCTGGTTTTCTTTGGGAGGGGGACCCTCAAGGGTCTTGGTACCAGCAGTCTTTTGCCCAAGATCACATTGCCTGAGCCTGTGGGGTGGGAGAAGAGAAACCCGGGGAATAACAGAAGTGGTTCCAAGACCAGACCATGGGGTAGGGGAAAGGCCCGGCGGCTGTGAGAACTGGGACCTCTCAGGAGCCACCGGCCAGCCTCCCGCCAGCTGCAGTGACTGAGCCCTGAGGGCCTCCCTCCTGCAGCGGGGAGGGGTGAGGGTGAGGCTTGGTCTGGGTCTTTCTCCCCGGTGACTGAGGGAATGTCAATGCTCCAGAAAGGAGGTACTGTTCTTATGGGCCACCCTGGTTCCATAACGCGGTATTTACAGAGGCAGTGGCTTTTGAGAAGGCGGTTGTCAAAACCTACAAATGAGGATGGGGCAGCGCAGTGGTGCGTGGTGGCCACCTGTCCACATGGGGTCCTCGTGGTGAGTCCAGGCAGGCGGGGACAGGGCAGCTGCAGGTCATTAAGGCCCAAGGGAGAGGTCTTGTCCTGACGCTGGCCAAACAGAAGTGGGGTCTGTTTAGTAAACTGTGTCCCAAGGCCACCCCTGAAGATGGTCCTGTAGCCTCTCGCTAAGAAGGTGGGAACCGGGGCCCAGGACTGGAGGCACAGTGCCCTGGGCCAGTGCAGCATGGGAGGATTAGGTCCCTGGGAAGAGACCTGCTCTTTGGGTGCTGTGCTGCTTTTCCGTCCATGTCCTTCTGCCAATCGCCCATCCTTCGCCCCCGACCCCATCCCTCCCGCTCCCAACCCAGCACCTGCCTGGGGCAGGCCACTGAGCTGCTCACCCACTTCCCGTTCCCATTCGCCCCCATCACTGCCCCTCCCCTCCCAGCCTCAGGCTCTCCACCCACACAGCCTGTTCCCATGCCTGACCCCACAGGCAGGCTCTGTGACACAGTGGGCACCCTGTGTGGGCTTCTGTCCTTGTTCTCCCCCGCCAACGGGGGAGGGCTCCCAGGAAGGAGAAGTGAGGGGACAAAGGGCGAGGGCACTTGCCCAGTCTCCGCCCCACGGCAGTCCAGCATCCGACCTTCTTTCGTCCCGAGGTGAGGGCGGTTGGCAGCCGGGGTATCGGGGCACGCCCCTGCGCCCTCTCTGTACAAGCTTTGGAGAATGGCGTTTCACGGCAGGGGTGTTTGCTGATGATTCCGGCAGAAATGTGAGGAGATGGACACGGCCCGCTTTACGCTCCCCCACCCTAACCCGCTTCCAGCCCCAAAGTCTCATGCAAAAGGTACCGGAGGCCCCAGGGCTACCGTCATGTGTGTGGCAACAGCTGCCACTGCTGGGCCGGGGCATCAGCCTGGCACTTGCTGGTCACCAGCTGGGCGGGCTTGGCCTCCAGGCAGAGGCCGCTGACCGAATGCTGGATGAAAGAGGCTTTTCTCCTCCATCTCTGCAGGGAGAAGCGGGGAAGGAGGAGAGTGAGGTTAAAATAATAATGCTCACACCTGCATTGCATATGTGTACAAATGGCCCATGTCCTGGCTGGTGTGGCTCAGTGGATTGGGTGCCGGCATGTGACCCAAGTGTCTCCAGTTTGATTCCCAGTCTGGGCACATGTCTGGGTTGTGGGCCAGGTCCCCAGTTGGGGGTATATGAGAGGCAACCACTCATTGATGTTTCTCTTCCTCTCTTTCTCCCTCCCTTCCCTTCTCTAAAGATAAACCTAAAAAAAAAGTGAAAAATAAACAAACAAATAGCCCTGCATATACCTAGGACACCACTGCCCGCATCTGAACAGTCTGTGTGTCCCTTACATAAGAGGTCCCCCCACTGCACACAAGCTTTAAGCCCCCGCCTCCCAATGCACTCCTGTTCTGTAGTTTGGCATGAAGTTACTGTCTAGATCAGAGGCGCATGGGCTGAATCTAATGCACAGATGTTATTTTGTTTGGCCTACATGGTGTTAACTTAAAAATGTGGCTTAGTTGCTACATAAAAATCTGCACTTCCAGCTTTTGCCCAGACGTGGCTTAGTGTCTTTTGTGGCATCAGCTGGTTGTGGCTGAGGGGCTGCTCTCCGCTGTAAATACACCCTCATCTCAGTTCACCTGAGTCCTACTTGGGCTTCCCCACCGGCTTTCTATAGGCACTTGAGTTTGAGTTCCTGGGCAGGTGAATCTTTGACTCCTTCAGATAGTTCTTCTTCCTGCAGCTCAAAGCTTCGGCCCTTGCTTATCACTGTGCAGCCATTGCCTGCACCCTTAGTGGGAACTGGCCGCCATCTTGGCAGAGAGGGAGAGTGAGGCCAGTGGGCTGGTGGGGGCACTTGAGTCTCCTACTGAGTCATGAAGGGGCTCCCAGGTCAGTGCCTTCACCTCCTGGTGCCTGCCCTTGCCCAGGCTTGACAAGGGGAAGGAGAGGTGTTCTGGTAGAGCATTTTGGAAATGCCTGGATGGAGGATGATGTATGGTTTGGATGCTTGGTCTGTTTTTGGTTTCTTTCCTTTTTCCCTCCCGTGCATCCATCTCCCCTCTTCCCATATCCCCCTGGTCCTCCCCAGGAAGTGGGGAGTGCTCGTGACCATGTGGACGGAGCCCAGAGGGCTCTGAGGGGGAGGGGCCCATGTATTTTTCAGAGCAGCTAGGAGAACGGAGGTGAGCTGCACACAGCTTCGGGTCCAGGGCTGCAGGGAGACATGGGGCGGGCAGAGAAGGGAACCAACATAGGATGCGGAAGGCGGGGGCACCAGAGTCTGGATTCCCCTTGGGAATGCAGTGCTATGAGGCTCGGGGCCGAGACCCAGCCCCTCTGGCCCAAGTGGCCCCAGCAGAGGGGGGACCCTGGCCTAAAGATTAGGCCCCTGGCTTTCAGATTGGTCCCTCTGAAACTCACAGCATCCTATTGCCTGTGCTTTTCTAGTCTGACCTCCTGGAAAGGGCTGGCGCACTCTCCCCGGATGAGTATTGCTGGACCATGACCCTTCTTTCATCCCTGTGACCAGCATGATCTGCACATCCCTTGGCATGAGTAGGAACCCAATGCAGTTTTGGTATATGAAGAATGAATGCATGGATGAATGAGTGAATGCCCCCATCATTAGGAGGTGCTCCCCAAATCACAGGATTCTCACTTCCTACAGGTGCTACCAGACACAGTCTCAGGGCCTCCCCGACCCCCCTGGCCCTCGGCCCTGGGCCTGGCCAGAGAGACAGAGTCCCCTCACAGTACTCTCCCATCTCCACGCTCTTGGTTATTGCAGACCCCTTGTGAGGCAGGCAGGCAAGGGAGCTCCCCATTTTATAATGAGGGTACTAAGGTTTAGAGAGGTAAGGGGGTGACAGAGCTGGGACCTGCTGACTCCATCACGCCGGATCGAGTGCACATGGGACCTCTCAGATACTGACACCCATGTGACCTTGGACACAGGAACAAAGGGGAACCAAGAAGGGAGGCCAAGATTGGAGAAGGTGCTGCCAGCGGGAGAGCTTCTCATCCTGTCCTCCTGGCAGGGGGTGGGGGGCAGCTGCCCAGGGTGTTGTTGGGGGCCTGGCAGGACTTGCAGGAGCAGAATGAGCAGGGACAAGGGAGATCCTACAAGCCCGTTAGGCTGGGTCAGCACAAAGGGGAAAACGATACTTCAGCCCCAGGGAAGTATTTGCATGGTGCCTGCCCTGGGAGACACTTCCCAGCTCCAGCCTCAACAAAGCAGGGGGGCCCTGGCTGGGTTGCTCAGTTGGTTGGAGCATCACCCCAAAACCAAGGTTGCAAGTTCAATCCCTAGTCAGGGCACATACAGGAGGTAACCAATGAATGCATGAATAAGTGGAACAACAAATTGATGTTTCACTCTCTCTCTCTCTAAAAATCAATTAAAAAACAAAAAAGGAGGGGGTGGGAGTGGGGTTAAGGCTTGACACAGAGAGTTCCGTGCTCCAGGTGAAGGGGGACTCAGGGCCCGCTAACTGTAGGGCAAGGGGCAGGCAGCCTTGGAGGGACCAGGACCAGCTGCACCCTTCCCATCTGAAAGTGCTTCAGAAATGTCCGGTGGGCCCAGCAAGCAGGCCATGGCACACAAATCTCTCAGAGCCAGCAAGGAGGGGATTGGAAGAGCAATGGCCAGTCATCCCTAAGAGCTGACTGAGGCAAACAGAACAGGGTGCAAGGAGAGCTCTGCAGGCTGAATCAGAGGGTGAGGTGCCTAACCCCCTCCCACCTCATACTGCCCCGAAGGCTGGCCGGAGTCAGACACCAGGAAGGCCACCCAGGAGGGGCAGGCAGAGGAAGAGCTGGGGCTGGCCTCTGGCCTTTGGGTCAGGTCCCGAGCAGAGGCACGGCCCTCCAAGCCAGAAGGACAAAGGAAGGAGCTAGGCTGACTGTCCCTGGCTGCCAAGTCCCCTAAGCCAGTAACTTCATCTCTCTGAGCATCAGCTTCTTCCTCAACAAGTGGGCCTGTCTCCCAAGATTAGTGGAGACCGGGTGAGAGAGAGTGTTTGACCACGGAAAAGGCGGTGGGCACATAAGGCTGGCACGACAGCTTGGAAGTCACTGTATCTGGATTTCGGTTTCCCCAGGCAGCCAGCAGTCAAGAAATACAGAGCATCTGCTATGTGCTGGGATAAGACTCTCGGCTCAGGGGTCACACTTACCCAGGTTTTAATGCCAACCCCACTCCAACTCAGCTGTGTCATCTAACATATGTCTCTTAAATTTAGGGAGCCTTGGTCTTATGACCTATCAAATGGGGATAGCACGAGAGCCCGGATCACTGGGTTGCTGAGAGGTTTAGATGAGATGATCCATGTAAAAGTCCTAATATGGGTTCTCAGTAAAAGCTAACACTTCTTTTGGCTGTGGTGGTTCTCAGAGGCTAGGGACAGTGTTGATAAGACAAACAGTCCCTGCCCTCATTCACCTCACAGGCTGGCAGGACAGACATTTAATAAATATTTACCTGAAGGACTTCCTGAGTAAAATCATAGACTTGACCTTGATAATGACTTAGGCCTGCTCAGCTTCTCATTCTGGAGGGACTGAGTCTGTGTGTCTCAGCCTGGGGCTCCCTGCCAGGGGCTGCTGTCCCCGCTATGTGTCTGCCTAGGGCTGCTGGCCGTCCTGAGCCCGGGGGTAAGAGGCTTACCTGCCTCCCTTCTCTCGGGTTGCACACCTGCAGTACGACCGGGGACCCAGGGGCGACGGAGGTGGAGGTGGCGGTCAGGCACTTCCCCTGCTGCTGGATGAGATGGTCACTGAACAGCCATGCCTGCAGGGCAGGAACCAGGAAGGCTGAGTCCAAAGGTACAGCATTGGATGGACAGATGGGTGATTAGGCGATAAAGCAAATACACTGTGTATTTTGGTAAAATGTTCTACTAATAGGGGTGGGTGCATGGGTATTCACTGTACAATTCTTTCAACTTTTCTACAAGGTCTGGCACAAGAAATGCTCCTTTTTTTATTAAAAAAAATCTTTTATTACAAAATCACAAGCATGTCACTCTGTAACATAACAATATCATACTCTAGCACACCATATGACATTTTAGGTGAAATGTTCAAGTTAAAACTATAAATTATTACACCCACATTATTATCCTACCAACCACACTCAAGCAGGCATTACTTCTGCCAGACCCTGCATATATTTGAAATTTTTCATAATAAAATATTGGGGGTGTTCGGCTGGAGCTGGCCAGAGGGCAATGGAGCATGTACCAAGGGTTACTGGGGAAGGGGAAGAGGGACAGGACATGAGACCAAGGCAGGCAGGACGCCTGTCCATGATGGGGGCTCCATGACCAGCTCTAGTTTTGACGTGGCGCATCAACACTCATATTTTGCACACCTGTGCACACACAAGAGTCCTGGATGCCCTGTGCCCATCACATCAGCTGACCACAGCTGCACCCCAGGAGAGAGCTGGTGGTGCACAGAGGGCGGCTGTGTCACAGCCTGGAGAGGAGATCAGAACGTGACAGGAGCAGGCTCAAGGTGCAGGGCGGGAGGGGACGGCTGGCAGGGTCCCTGGGAAAGTGGGTTTGTGGAGACCGTAGACAGAGAGAGGAGGAGAATGAGCAGAGGAAAGCCCCTCACCCCACTCAGGGTCCTAAGCAGCTTACCTGGGGTGCTGGGGGGTTCTTGGCAGACCCTCTGCAGATCCCCACTCCGAGCAGGAAATCACCAGCAGTGTCCTGGCCCTGGGACTCTAAGCAGTTAACCCCTTGCTTAATGATGCCAGGGAGGGCTTCCTTCACCGGGACCCTGAGAGGAAAGGCAGGGGTGGGGCTTGTTTTCTGCCCACCTCGGGCTTACCCTCACCCAGTGGGCAGCCGCATCAGCTCCCAGCGCCAAGGTCTCAGTGGGGAGGAGCACTGGGCGCAGACGAAGCTAGCAGGCCGGGGAGGAGAGGAGAAAGAAACCAGGAATTCCTCTGGGAAGACACGCCAGGGCCCCATGGGGTTCTGAGCAGCTCCAGGAGCCCCAGAGCCTGGCCTGGAGGCTGGGTCTGAGAGGACCCTGGTGGGGAGAAAGCTTAGGCCAGAAACCCAGGACTCCCCAGTCCAGAAAGAGGAGAGCCTGGGGAGGGGCTGGGACCGGAACGTGGGCTCAATGAGCAATCTCAGAACGACAGGGAAGGGGCCACCTGAAAGAGGCAAATTTAAAATGCACAAATATGTGCCCTGGCTGGTGTTGTCCAGTGGACTGAGCACTGGACTGTGAACTGAAAGGTCGCCAGTTCAATCCCAATCAGGGCATGTGTCTGGGTTGCGGGCCAGGTCCCCAACTGGGGGCCTGCAAGAAGCGATCAAATGATGTTTTTCTCACTCATCGATGTTTCTCTCCCTTTCTCCTTCCCTTCCCCTCTCTCTAAAAATAAATAAAAATAAAATCTTAAAAAAACATAAAATGCACAAATATGAAAATGTGTTCAATCTCATTAAGAACTTAAAGAAATATATATTAGAGGGTTAGCACTGTTTACTATATATTTATATATTATGTATTTATATATTTATGTATATATTTCTATATATTTATGTATATGTTGGTATATTTATATGTATGTATATAAATATATATATTTAGTATCTATACCCTACTGGTGAAAGCATAGATTAGCCTAACTTTTCTGGAAGGCAATGTGTTGTTATTATTATTATTTATCAAAGGCCTTAAAACTGTACACACCTTTGACCTCACCATCCCATTTCAGGGGGCTTAATGTCCTATAACAATAATTATAGATGTATGCAGAGATTTAGTCTAAAAATATTCATCTCTGACTTGTTGATGATACAAAAACATTAGAAATTCCTAGATCTCCAATAGGGGGTGGGGGAAGCAAATTGTGATTCATCTGTAGGGTAGAAAATGCTTTAGCTATTAAAAATAACTGTGAAATACTATTTGGTAATGTGGGAAAGCACTCAGAGCATACCATTAAGTCAAACAGGCAGTTCAAAATATTATATTATTAAATCACTTTATACGCATAGCAAAACTGTGTGTAAACACACACACACACTGACATAAGACCAAGCCTCTTAGCCTGTGGGCAAGAAACCTAAGAAGGCCGCTGGCCCCAGCAGATGCAGGTTTGTATACTTGAGTTTGGGAGGTTACACACACTCTTGGATTGTGGACCCACAGTGGGGCGATGGGGAACCAGTCTGGCCAAGTGCCTAACCTCACCTGTCTCCTGCTATCTCGGTTGGCAAGAGAATGCGGGCGGGGGCAGGGGGCATCAGAACACCTCGGGCACTCTGTGATGTAGACATGCCGCAGGATCTCAGCCAAACCAGGCCCGCCTTCCTCAGAGTTGGCTGGAAGCCCCCAGAACCCCAGAACCAACCTGTTCTCACAGAGCCTTGGGCAGTAGTATGGGCCAAGTATTAGGATCCCTTGTTTGGAAGAAAGTTGGTATCATTTGGGCCAACTGATCTCCTTTCTAACCCTTGGCCCTCACCCTGAGAACCGAGGCAGGTCGTGAACAAGCGCACTGGGGAGGGGCCATCTGGATATAAATGAGGTGTGTGGCTTCTCTTAAGAGCAATAAATCATTGTTTAAAACTTCCGCACAGTCGCCTTGACTGCTGTGGTGCAGTGGGTCAGGCTTTGCTGCAGGGACCAAAAGGTTGCTTGGTTCGATCCCCGGTCAGGGCACAGGCCTGGGTTGGGGGCTGGGTCCCTTCCCCGCTCTCTAAAAATAAATAAATAAATAAATCTTTAAAAATAAATAAATAAACTTTCACACAGTGACAAAACAAAAGGCAGTTGACTATGTTTCTCGCTGGTTTCATCCACTCTCCTGCCTTGGGACCAATCAATCCAGGTTTCTGACAGATATAAAATAACTTATGGTCCTCAGTGGATGACAGGACACTCTGTGTGGGGACTGGGGTGAGCACATTCTCGGTCCCCTTCTCCCAACGCCTCCCCCAGGCTTCCCAGCTCTTGCCCGAGGCCTAGAGTCCATGGCTCCGTCCAACTGTGGTATGAACTTTGACAGAATGTAAAGAAATGAATTTTTTCCTCAGAAATGACACATCTGAATGAAGCCATCCCCCTAAAAGCAGTCACTTGAGGAAGTTGTTTATTTATTATGCTTCTATAAATGGGCGTCCCTCCCTTCACAGATATCATGGGGGAAGCCTGGGGTCATCCAGGCTGCCAACTTTCCTGTGAGGAGGCTGCCATTGCTCGAACTGTTTGGGAACTCCTCAGGAATTGCTCCCAGCGTCAGTTCATTTTTGTGACTTGTTTCAGTCTTATTGCACTGTACTGGGGACCCAGGGCTATATTATCTGGGTTAATCTAGTTTATTCCCTGGTCGTGGCTATAATGCAACTATGGGCGTTCTCCAATAATCAAATCTGCCATTGAAAGCTAGGCAAGCTCTAAGGGGTGGAGTGTTCTGGAAAGTCACGGCAGCATCTCTGGGAGAAAGCTGGCAGCAGTGGGATAGCCCGCTCCCCAAGGCGACAGCCACAGAAGGAAGAATGCTGACTGCAAAGTTACTGCTGAGGCTTATTGACTATGCAATTTATTCAGTCAAAAATATTTATTGAAAACTCATTTTGTGACAGGCACTGTGTGAGGAGGTGGAGAAAAAACAGTGAACAAACGAGGTGAACACCTCTAACCTCATGGAGCTTACTGTCAAGTGTGGGGAGATAATCCCAAAATTCACCAGCCAGATGTCTGCTGGCGATGGTAGGGGCAGGCAACAGAGGAAAGCAAAGCGGAATGCTGGGCAAGGGGTGGTCTGTGAATTCAGTATTCAGGGGAGGTCTCCCTGAGAAGGGGACATTTGAGAAAGACCTGCAGGAGGTGAGGAAATGAACCATGTGGCTGTAGCCAAGACACTCAGAAGGACTTTGAAATAAGAAAGAATCCTCTCCACCCCACGCCAGCCATCACAGCTGGTCCTGCACAGCCTGGTTCAGTGCACACACTCACATGTACCGCGGCTCCAGTGCACATGCCATTTGCAGGTTGCGTCTGCATTTGCTACAGCAAAGTTTCCCCACGCTCTCCCAGTCTTTACGGTTATTACGTCAATGGCCACATAACATTTGTTTAGATCGATACATCATGACTCACGAAACCCAGCCCCCCTTGTCGGTCATTTCTCAGTTTTTTCCCCAGCAGCAGAGAAGCCTACAGTGAACATCTTTTTTGTCAACAGTTTTTTGCTTCAGTTGCTTCATTTCCTCAGAGTAAACTCCCAGATGGGGGGAGAACAAAGGGGATGATGATTTCTGTGGCCTTTGCTACAAAGTGCAGTGTTGCTTTCCTAAGTGGACAGTGTCTATTTATAGCACAAAGGCCCGGTCCTGTTAAAACATTTGGTTCCTACCACAGGTCATGTTTAACTTCTGGTAATGTCCTCCTGGCTTCCCCAAAGCCTTCACAAGAAGACAAACACCGACAGCTAGAAAGAGCCAGACTGCCTGGGATGGAGAGATCCTGCGGTGAAGGGTCCCCGGGCTGCCGGCCCCACCCAGGCCAGATGCGCGGGCTGAGGGCTGCACTCACGTGAGCTCTGGGTAGACGTTTTCCAAGTACCAGCGGAAGGACTTGCAGTTCATCTTCTTCCTCTGCTCAATCCTTGTGGCCACGCTGAAAGAGGAGGCCAGGCTTAGGCTCTGGCCAGCGGGCTCGGGAGGAAGCCCTGGGGGGGACAGGCAGAGGCCCCGCCCCGGTGCACCAGGACCAGGAACCCAGGTCCCAGCCTGCCCTCCAGCCTCAGCCACCTGCCTGGAGTCATTCTCAGGCCCGCAGCTTCACCTCAGGTCTCCTGGCCATTCCTCTCCTCAAATTCCTGCCCACCTTTCAGGATCAGCCCAGCCCGCGAGGAGTCCTGTTTTACCCTCCTCACCCTGGGCCCTCCCTCAGCTAGCATCACACAAACCCTCAGTTAGCACAGGTCCTTCTTTCCACAGAGAGCAGAGCCTTAATGAACTCAAGTTTTCCTTCTGTGCGCTGCAGTGTAGCAGACAGGGCCTAACAACAAGGGGAACGGACTTTAAAGGTCTTTCAGGAATTCTAGCAAATCAGACTGTCTGATGTGTCGGTGGACACCGCAGTTCGGTCTCCTCCCCTTCCTCAGCTACACTGACCGTAATGACCACCGACAGGGGCCCTTGCCCCGCTCTCTGAGCCCACTTCTCCTCCAATAAACTGAAGACATAACCACCCACCCGAGGGGGTTTCTGTGAGAATCAAATAAATTAAGTGACATAAGTGCCAAGCAAATTTTAGCTCCTCGCTGAAAGAAATAGTCAGTGACGAAATACTTTTTCTTTTTAAGGGATAGATATAAGTAAATAGAGGGAGAAAGATTCATTGATGACCACTAATAATGTTTTTAAACTTTCCTGACCACAACCTTAAATAAGAGAGAAATACATCTTACATCGTGATCAAGTTTATCTATGTACATATTTAGGTAGACACACACATACACATATAACTAAAATAAGAGTTTCGCAAAACAATATTACCCTTCACAGCAATCAACTGCTATTTTCCCTTCTGTTGTGTGCTAATCTCAGGTTCTCATTCCCTATCACTTTTTTAATCACAGCCCACTCAGCTGACGTTGCAACCAATCGGAATTTTGGAAACGCTTAACTCGACTGTAGTCGTAACAGTCAGGGACAGGAAAACAGTCTAACAGCACACAGATTGGGAACAACTGTGGTGGGGGGAGGCAAAACCCTAAGTGCTTTCTGCGGACAGTTCCTCCCTGAGCGCTCCCACAGAGGCCCCTTTTCCCGCAGGCAGCTGGTGAGCAGAGGCTCTTTTTCATAAATGAGCCTTCTCTGGTTATTTCTCCCCAGGGGGTGGCACCCTCCTCAAGGACCAGTGTGTGTCTGTGCACTGCATACTGGCGTGGGCCCCAAGAGCCCAGCAGGTGGAGCTCAGTTACTAAGGAGACTGTGAGTGCTTGCAAGCCCATTTTGTATTCAGGTTAAGGCTGTGCTAACGTGGGTGGAGGGAGGCAAAGAGGGCTGGGGGAGGGGCCCACCTGCCAAAGGCCTTCCCGATGGCCGAGGGACGGGCTTCATAGTAATATTGCTTATATTCGTCCATCCACACCTCTGCAGTGCGCTTGGTATTCCTAAAAGGAGAGGAAGGGGCAAAAGACAGTCACCAAGGCAGCAAGAGAAGTAGGGTTAGGATTCAGATCAGCTCTGTGCACTGATGAGAACATGGAGTGATGAAAATCTCAGAAGTGTATGCAAACAAGGCTAATTGGGGTGGTACAAACGAGTACAGTCTTTTTGGAGAACGATCTGTCAATATCCGCCAACTTTGGAGGTATGTATACCCTCTGACGCTCTACTTCCAGGATCTGTTCTACTGACAGACCTGCATGTAGGTAATGTATGAGGACATGTACGAGAATATTTTTTTAATGAAACATTAGCAACAACCTAAATGCCCATTAAGTGAGGATAATGAACTACTTCCACATGATGGACTACAAGGCAACCTTGCACAACAACGCCATGGTTAGTATGCAATGCCAGGGAAGGACATCTATAAATTGGTGTTGAGTGGCAGGAAAGTATGCTGCAGAAAAAACATAGAGCAGGGTCCCATTTATATAAAATCACAAACACAAATCCATAGTGTGTATGTGCATCTCTCTCTCTCTCCATAAATTGCATGTATGAAAAATATATATATATTAAAAGGCGTGTGGCTGGGCACGTGGATGGGCGGATGCTGACCAAGTTGGAGTCAGGACATGGCGTCCACACCATGTGAGTGGAAGGCAGCTCCCAGTGGGTCACTTGGCCAGTTGTCTAAGACCCTCAAGGACAAAGATAGTCAAGGCAAGAAAGCTGGTGGCAACACTCTCAACTTCATCCTTCCACCCTTGAAAGGGCCTGGAATCCAGAATGGGACTCTGGGTGGGGTCAACAGGGGAACTGAGGCCCAGAGAGGTAGGGGGCTGCCCAAAGTCAGATAACAGGACTGGGCCTAGAACCCTGGGTCCTGGCTGCAAGCTCAGGGCTCCTGGTTCTGTGACCTACCTGATGTAGGTGAGGGCATTGCCCTCAGGGAAGTTGTAGGGATGCCGCTTCCGGAAGACGTGGCCCACCCGGCTGCAGGGCACGATCTCCAAGCTCCCCCCGCACATCCACACCCTGAAGGAGAGCTCTGCGGGAGACAGCAGCCATCAGGAGGGGAAGAGCTCCTTGGCAAGTCCCGCTGAGTGAAGACGGGAAGGGGCTGGCTTCCCTTCCGTTTGGCGTCTCACTGGAGGCACATGCCGGGGTTGGAGCGCCCGGCCCTGTGTCCATGGGTGCACCCACTCCTGACAGTTTTTGCACGTGCAGCTGACGGCTCACCCCGTGCCTGTCCACACACACCCACCACACACGTCCTCCACACACCCTCCACACAAAAGCCTTCCACACATACCACCACCACACACACCCTCTGCATGCACACACCCCCTCCACACATTCTGCACACAAACACCCTTTACACACATACCACCAACACACATGCCCTGAGCCCTGGAAGAGCAGTGGGGAAAGCTTTGAAGGAACACCAAGGTCACAAGTACAAGGAAAACTGAATCAAATGGCAGCATCATTTCCCGCCTCTGTCCAGAAAGCCCCATCCAGACATGAGCTAAGGAAGAATCCATCTGCTCGGCAGCCAGTTCTGGGCACTCACGAGGTTGGAAAAGCAGCCACCAACCAAGCCACAGCTCCTGCAGCTAGCTGGCCCTAACCTCCCTCTTGCCCAGGGGTTCCCATTTACAAGCTACTGCTGGCCCTCTTGAGCCAGGCTTCCTTCTGATGGAGGTAGTGAAGCTGAACCAGCTTTTGCAGATGACTGTGGTCCCCAGTAGTGTCGGGAGATGAACGAAGTGGCCCTTCTGCCTCCCAGAATGGAAGGGACATCACAAGTCACCTAGTGTGTTCTCCACTCACCAACTGTCACTTTGCAAGACCCTCCCTGAGATTCGGCTGAACCTCACAATAATTTCTTCTGGTTTCTTACTTCCTTTCATATTAGCTCCACAGTTGGACACCCTATGACTTTAAAACACCTCCTCCTTGTTCCAGAAAACCGATAACCATAGCACTTATTTCTTTTTTAATTTTTAAAAAAGCAAGACCATTCTGTCATGAGTTCTCTTTGTCCCTTGGTCTCTCTTCCCACTCTCCACTTGGCTGTAAGGACACTCGTGGTTTCTGGCCAGGCCTCCAGGCTTTTACCTGGTGCAGCAGGTCAGGGCCTCCAAGTGACCAGGAAAGTGGGGAGTGAAGGCAGCAGGACCAATGCCTATTTTCTGGCCACCTGTGTGCACCAGGGGACTTCCAGATGTGGTCCAAGGGCCAGGACTGGACATTCGGCATATCTGGACCCACACAGAGGGCTGGCTACATTACTGGGCTTCCCTAGGTCTGACTGCAAACAGGCAGGCCTCTGTCCCCTCTCCCAGTCAGAGCTCTGCAGCTGGCTCAGCAATGGAGATCTGAAACTGTGGACAGACCTGGGGACAGAGATCTGCGTTCTGGTTCTACTTCTGCCAGAGTAGCTTTATTATGTTAGTTGTCACTTCATCTCACTCAGCCCATATTGCCCACACTATTATCAAGTGTTGTCATTATTAGCAACAATAGCATTAACCATCATCCATTTACTGAGCACTTACTGTGTGCCTCCTCTTTATATCTGATGTCTAAGTCTCACAGCAACCATGTGAAATTGGTATTATTATCCCCACATATATTTTTTAAAGCAAACCTAGTTTACTTCCGGCCAAGATGGAGGCGTAGGTAGATATGCTTTGCTTCCTCACACAACCAAAAGAAGGATAATACCAATTTAAAAACAAAAAACAACCAAAACTGTGAGAAAATCAAACTTTATGGAACTCCAGCAACCAAGGAGTTAAAGAAGACACATTCATCCAGACCAGTAGGAGGGGAGAAGACAGGCAGCTGGAGCAGAGAGGACGTGTGGGGAGGGGCAGACTGGTGGGCAAGGCAGCAGCTGGCTTACTGGTTGGTCCCACATTCATGTGTGGATAAGCTGGGAGGAACAATTGGGGAACAAGACAGACTGTGCAACCCAGGGTTCCAGCATGGGACATAAAGCCTCAAACCTACATCATAGTTAAATTACCCAAGATTAAAGCTAAGGAGAGAATCTTAAAAGCAACAAGAGAAAAGGAGACAGTTACCTACAAAGGAGTTCCCATAAGACTATTAGCTGATTTGTCAAAAGAAACGTTACAGGCAAGAAGGGGCTGGAAAGAAGTATTCCAAGTGATGAAAGGCAAGGACCTCCATCCAAGATGACTCTATCCAGCAAAGCTATCATTTAGAATGGAAGGGCAGATAAAGTGCTTCCCAGATAAGGTCAAGGTAAAGGAGGTCATCATCACCAAACCCTTATTATATGAAATGTTAAAGAGGCTTATTTAAGAAAAAGATCAAAACTATCAACAGTAAAATGACAACAAACTCACAACTACCAACAGCTGAACCTGAAAAACAAAAACAAACTAAGCAAAAATCTTGAACAGGAAAAGAATCACAGAAATGGAGATCACATTTAGGGTTATCAGTGGGGAGGGGGAAGAGGGAGAAGGGGGAAAAGGAGTAAGAAATAAGAAGCATAAATAGTACAAAATAGGCAGGGGGAGGTTAGGAATAGTATAGGAAATGGGGAAGCTGAAGAACTTATATGTACAACCCATGGACATGAACTAAGGGGGAAATGCTGGAAAGGAGGGTGCAGGGTGGGGGCAGAATAAAGGGGATAAAAAAAGGGACAACTGTAATGGCATAATCAATAAAATATAGTTTTGAAAAAGCATAGACAGTTTTATTTCATCCATTAATTTAATGACAGACAAGAGCCCTTTGTGACAGTAGGGTCAATAAACCAAAAACAAAATTCCAAAGTCAGAATATTAGGTCCTCAGTTCAACACCCAGTCCATGTTAAACACCCTCTTTTCTTTTTTTTTTTTTCACACCCTCTTATTTTTTAATTAAATTTATTGGAGTGACATTGGTTAGTGAGATCGGATAGATTTCAAGTGTACATTTGATATATGATCTATATATATCTATATATTGCATTGTGAGCCCACCTCTATTTTTAGTAAGAACTGTAGAAATCAAAGATGTTAAATAACCTCTTTTAAGCTCATCAAATAGTTGCAGAATTGCAACAACAAGTTCACAGTTTGTCCAGCAAGCTGTACTGTATGACCAGATTTTTTAGTTAATTCATAAAATTTTTACTGAGTACTTATTTAAGACAAGAAAATGAGCAGAATACATAGCCTATCAGATAATAATAAATACAATGGAGAAAAATGAGGCCAGGAGGGGATGGAAGAGGGTGAGCGGAACGGAGGGGGAGGACTGCCATTTTAACTAGGCGATGAGGGAAGTTATCCCTGAAAGGGTACATTTGAGCTAAGGCGTAAAGGAGGTGGGGAATCGAGTCCCCAGCTCTCAGGAAGAGCATTTGGCAGAGTCGTAAGCAAGGGCAACACCTGGAGGCAAGGGCAAGGCTGGCAAGTTCACAGCTCAGCAAGGAGGCCAGGTGGCCAGAGAGGGTGCGGTAGGACAGAGCTGAGGGTGTGTGCTTGCGGGGGAAGGGCAGACTTCAGGACTTTGGGTTTTGCTCTGAGTGATGCAGGAGCCCTGGCAGGGTCTTGAGCAGCAGAGTGACATGATCTGACTACATTTTGCAAGGATCCCGAATGTGACTCCCAAGGATTTCGTGTGCCACCCCCTCGCAAGGCGGCCTCTGACTCCCGAGTTTGGCTGGGGGTGGAGAGGCAGGGCACAGGAATGAGTTTCGGTTTGGGCATCTCCCTTCCTTCAACCAAGAAACAAAATGAAAGGCCAAACCCACCAGCAGCAGGAGTCTCCCAGTTCAAAACGATGGCTCGCTGAGACATTTCTTTGAATTTCTAAGAAGCAAAACCCTCTCCAGAACCAATCCTTGGTTCACCCTTCAAGTTCCCCCAACCACTGAGCCCTCGCTTCAGGGCTTCAGGCACAGTTTGAAGTCAGCTGTTTGATCTTTCACTTGTTTCCCTGTCAGTCCCCAGCCTGAAAAAAACAGAAAGAAAAAGAAAGAGAGAGAGAGAGAGAAAGAAAGAAAAGAGAGGAGAGGGAGAGGAGAGGGAGAGGAGAGGAAGGAAGGGAAAGAAAGAAGGGCAGAAGGAAGGAAGGGCCTCTGGATGCAAGAGAGACCGATAGCTTCTCTGTCTCCTAAGTCTATACAGGAAGTTGGCTTTGTCAAGCTCCCTGTAGGCTGAGATCGAGGACACAAAGGTCACGCAGGCCTAAACATATGAAAGGACATCAGAATGCAAGGATCATTGCACCCTAGTTCCCAAATATACTCCTCCAGATGCCTGTCTGGAAAGCGTTCCAAGAATAAGTTACAAGGGGAGGAAAAACCCCATGCCTGTTCCCACTCCAGCTGGTTTTGAGAAGGGGTCAGGACTATTTTAAGCCCCACTGCTCATCCGTGTCCCAATCAGGGAGAATGAAGAAGGGCCTGCTCCTCACTTCTCAGAAACACAGAATTTCACTTTGCTCACACCTCACTACACGTAAGTGGCACTGGTCAAGGCGCTCCACACACCCGTTAGACATGGAGTTTCCTGACTAGAATCTGGAAGGCAGCGTCCGCCTCAGTTTTCCCACCTGTCAAATGGGTGAGATACCATCAGCTCTATTTACTTCTAAAGAAACCTGTGTAGAATGAAAAAGCAAGCCGTGGGAAAGAGCTCTGCAAAGGGCCAGGTCCACTGCAAAAGCAAGAATCTGCCTCTGTATTTACAGGCCTCAAAAGTACCTGCCCACTTCTGGAGGCCAGCAGGATGCCCTGGAACGCTTCCCACCCTGCCCCGTGCCTGGGAGGCTGCCTAGGTAGGCTGCACCGCTGGGCTTCCTACCTGCAGGGCACAGGTTCAGCCAGCAGAGACGCCAGTGGGAGGTCAGACAGGGGAGAATAAGGGTGGGTGTGCCCCATCCCCACCCCCTCCATCTGGGAGCCACAGGCTGGCTGCAGGTGCCCTAGGACCACAGCTCCTGTAGGGTGGTGCTCCCTCCCCATCTTTTAGACCTAGGGGTAGTGACACCCAGCAGTCACCAGCCTCGCCCAATACAAGGCTGTTCCTGTGGTTCCCTCTATCTTGCCCACACTGTGTAAACAGGCCCTTTAATAAACCCCCTTAAATTATGCACATCAGTGTTCCACCTGTTTCTGGCCTTTCTCTAACCTGAACCTCCCCAGCAACCCTGGGAATTCACTGGCTCTTCCCTCTCCTCCCGGGGTTAGAGGCTCCGACAGCCTCAGAAGTCATGATAGGGGCCACCGGTACTGCATACTATGGTACTGCATTTTGACTCCTCGCCTCCCTCAGTGCGCATAACGGCCTCTTGAGGAAACAGAGCCTTTGGGAGACTTTAACTTGCCCAGGGCAGCTTGTAGGTGATAGGATTTCAACCCAAAATACCCAGTAACTAGTAACCCCAGGATACTAGTTAAATATAAGCAATGGGATCAGAGGGCCAGGATTTGTACCCAGGTCCTCTGACTCCATCACTTACATTTAACCAGTACCCTCTACTGAACACATTCCCAGACCTGGTAGGGAAGCAACCGGGTGTTTGAGCTCGGACCATGATTGAGCCTGTATGTTCTTCCACACACATGTGTAGCCATGTGGTCACAGGCTCCCCCTAACCACCTAGTTCTCTTTGTTTACTAGCTGTGTGGCTCTGGACGAACTACTTAACCTCTCTGTGCCACAGTGTCTTTATCACTTTAAAATGGAGATAGCAGTACTTACTTCAGGGGATCATTGTGAGGATGAAGTCCTTGGAACAGGGCCTTACACATAGAAAGTGCTCGATCAGAGTTAATTGATGTTGTTGTTGCCATTGTTATATTTCCCAACTTACCAAAATTCTCTCCCCCCCAGATGTCCATCTGGGCATCATACTTTCCCAAGTGGTTAAACCAGGACTTGTCAATCACAAAGATTCCTCCAGCGATGACAGGCGTCCTGGGAGCAAGGAGAGAGCAGAGGCGACCCATAAGCTTAAGACGCCGGAAGTCGCTCTGCACGGCCCCAGGAGCCCAGCCCACTTGCCCCAGAATCCCCTGCTCGCTGAGTCACCAGGGCAGGATGTCTGGCCAGCCCCCTGGCCTCTGTGCTCTCTGTCCCTGGGGCCCAGAACAGAGTCAGCACTTCGACTGGATGTCCTCAGGAGCCCCGGTGACTGAAATGGCTCCCCAGCAGCCGCCCAGGCCCCAGACCCAGGGAAAGCAGGGGTCTCTCCGGAGCTCACAGTAGCCCTGACCTTATGGGCTTGGTGGGGTCCGTCCGGGCAATCTTCTGCTCAAGAGGGATCTGCTCCCACTTGAAATGCAGGCTCCAGTCGAATCCTAAGGGACAGAACAGGGTAAGCACCCGGGTCAGGGCAGAGCCCATTGGTGGCTGTTGCCCCCTCAGAGCCTCCCTTAATCTGGGCCGAGTTCACAGAGGGTCCTGGGCAGTTCGTGCGGTCATTTCTTCATTCATAATGAGATGGGTCTCTGCCCCTGTAGAGTTCTAACGTGCTGGGTTAGACAGAAACTGCAGGATGGATCAGCGAACAGGTAATATGTCAGTCACGAGTGACAAGTGCTTACAAAGGAAAATACAGGAGAGATGCCCATGCTATTCTAGTAAGGGCACTCAGTAATTGCTTTCTGATGGAGTGACATTTGAATAGAGACCGGAATGAAGGACTGATCCATGCAGATACCTGGGGAGCGGGAACTCCAGGCAGGGGGACAGTAAGTGGAAAGGCCCTGAGGTGACTTCCCAAGGGAGAAATGTCTGGCTCCCTTCAGAACCCCACTCAACCCCAAGGTCTAATTAATGGTTATGTCCATTTATTGAAAATCCAGACCCCGAATACAAAATCCATTCTGCCCACCAGCTCCCAGCAATAGTCTCCAGAGCAGCCTGTTCGATAGAACTTTCTGCAGTGATGAGCATGTTCTGTATCTGCACCATCCGATATGGTAGACACCAGCCGTACGCGGCTACTGAGCACTTGAAATGTGACTAGGGCAATTAAGGAACTGGATTTTAAATTTCATTTAATTTTAACTAACATAAATTTAAATAGCCAAATGTGGCTTTTGTGTACTGTATTGGACAGTACAGCTCTAAAGTCTAGGCCAGAGCTGTTCAAAAGAAATAAAATCCAGGCCAGAAAGGCAAGGCACCTATGTAATTAAAATTTTTCTAGTAGCCATATCAAAAAGTAATAAGAGCATATGAAATTAATTTAAATAATACATTTTAAATAAGATATACCCAAAATACTATCATTTTAACTTGTAATCAATATAAAAAATTACTAATGAGATATCTTACATTCTTTCACACTGACTCTTCAAAACCTGGGGCGTATTTTACACTCACAGCACATCTCAATTCAGACTAGTCATATTTCAAGAGTGAAACAGCCAAACATGGCTATGGTCCCCGTAACACACAGCACACGTTCAGACCACTTCTAGGGGGTCCATGTCAGGAATTCACGCAAGGCTGAGGGTTCCCCTCCTGCACTCCCAAAACAGCTGTCATATCATGCCCTTCTGCCAGGATTTGGCCTTGGTCTCTGGGCTGGCAGCATTTGGGGAGGGTGTGTCAATGTTTGAGGGAGGAAAAGACCAGCTTGGCTCTGCACTGACCGTGCCAGGAGCCTGCAGATGCTGGCTCTGGCCCTTGGCCCCCGGCCCCAGGGCTCTCGCCAATCCCTTTTCATTTTCTGGAGGTAACGGTGTTGTGAGACCCTCTGGCACCGCTGGGAAGAAGGGCCCCAAGCCAGGGCTGTTGCCTGCCCTCACCTGCCTCCTTTCTGGTCTAGATCCCCTCCCTTGGTAGCAGGACCCACCTCCGCGAAGGTCAGCAGATGCAGCAAGGTAAGCAAAGTTATCCAGACTGATGACATCAATGATGGGGCTCACCACGCGGGTGTGGTCCTAAGAGAGAAAATGCGAGCTGGCGTGAGGCCAGGGACCCTGCGGAAAGGCCAGCTGCCTGTTCTGGGAGGAAGGTCTCTCTTGAGGCACAAGGCCATATACTCAAGCTTTTCCTGCAGGACAGTTTGGGCTCCTGGGAGCTGTGCAGCGTCATCACGTCCAAGTTCCTGGAAGGTCCCACCTGGGTCCCATGGGCACAGTGCTCTCCCAGCCACTCCCTCTTAGGTCATATTGAGCCCTGCTGGAATCTCACCTCCTCAGTGAAGCTCTCCCTGATTGCTTCAGGCTGAGGATCTCTTCTTCTTTTAAGCTGCTCTCAAAATTAGAGTCTATGCAGTTCCTGGGCCAGTGAATCATATGCTGCCTGCGGCAGTTCTTCGGTTGCTGGCTTGTTCTTTTATTCATTGTTGCTCCCTTTTGTACATGTTTGGGTTGGGTCTTCCCAATTGGGCCCCCAGAAGCTTGAGGGCAGGGTCCCTGCGTCCCCTTGTATAACCTGGGTGTCACTCCTTTCATGCCACATCCACTTCAAAGTCAGTCTCACTACTCCCTTCATCACCTCCAGGACACAAATCCACCTCTAAAACGTTGGTGGGTAATATCAATTTTACCAAAGTTGTTCTTTATTTGGGGGGTAGTGGTGGTGGTGAATTATGTCATATACTGCACGTGAAACTTAACTGTCCTCTATCAGCCCTCTGTGGAGGGACATGGGACAGAGCCTCTTCTTTCTCTCCTCACACTTTGCATTGACCCTCAAAATCCTCTTGTCTGCCACTTGGAACCTAGCTCTGCCCCTCGGCTCACGGCCCGCCTCAGGATGGCCCGGGGTGGCGGAGGATCAGGGAGACCATCCCTGGCTTCTCCGTGGGGGCCTCCCCCTGTCCTTCTTACAGACTGTTTTGTACTGAGATATAATTCACATTTTTATAGCAATTTTATTAGATATAACTGATGTACCATTAAATTAACCATTTTAAAGCGTGCATTTCAGTGGCTTTTAGTACAGTCACAAGGTTGTGCAACCACTATCTAATGCCTGGACTTCTTCATCACCCAAGAAGAGACCCTGTACCCATGAGCAGTCAGTCGCCATTACCCCCTCCCCTCCACCCCTGACAACCGCTGAACTACTTTCTATTCCTATGGATTTGCTTCTTCTGGACATTTCATATAAATGGAGTCATGCAGCGTGTGTTCTTTAGTGACTGGCTTCTTTTACTTAGAATACATTTAAAGTTCATCCACGCTGTAGTATGCATCAGCACTTCATTCCTTTTTATGGCTGAATAACATCCCACTGGATAATAAATGACATGTTGCTTAGCCATGCCTCAGTTGATGGGTAGTCGGGTTGTTTGCATGTTTCAGCTACTCTGAATAAGACTGCTCTGTACACTTGTGTACAAGCTTTTGTGTGGAGTATGTTTTCATTTCTCTTGGGATATGCCCAGCAGTGCAAGTGCTGGGCCATATGTTAACTCTACGTTTAAACTTTTGAGGAACTGCCAGACTGGTGTCCAAAGGGCTGCACCATTTGACATTCCCACCAGCAACGTGTGCAGGCTCCTATTTGTTCCCGTCCTCACCAGTGTTTGTTACTATCCATCTTTTTTATTACAGCCATCCTATTAGGTGTCTCGCTGTGGTTTGGACTTGCATTTCCCTAATGACTTAAAAATGTTGAGCATCTTTTCATGTGCTCGTTGGCCACCATGTATCTTCCTTGAAGAAATGTCCATTCAAATCCTGTGCTCATTTTTAAATTGGGATATTTGTCTTTTTATAGTGAGTTGTAATCACTTCATCCTTTCCTCCATCTGTGCCAAACCTCCCCATTCTAGAAAACAGCGGGCCCGTGGCAGGGCCTCCCTGCCCTCCTCTCTCCTTGAGAACATCGTCCTCTCCTCCCTCCTTCTCGAGCCCCCTAGCCTGACCCAAGCCAGCCCCACCCCCGCCCCGCCTCGGCACAGGACCCTGCCTCCCCCAGGAGTAAGACAACCCATTCACAGTAGTAGCTCTACATCTCGCCCAGGCTGTCATCCAATTTAATTCTCTCCGCAACCTAGAGGGACAAATATAATTATCCTCATTTTCAGATGAGAAGGCTCAATGAGGTGAAGTCACTCAAGAGGCAGCAGACCATGTGCGCTCCTACTCTGCCTCCCCAACTTCAAAGACAGTCCCTACGCCCTCATGCCAAGATCATGGCAGGCATGTCCGGAGACAACAGAGCTCCCCGGGGACAGGCAGACTCACCTCCTTCACCCGCTGCAGCATGGGCTGCAGCCACTCAGTGTTCACTTCACAGTGGCTGTCCAGAAAGGTGAGGACGGCCGCTGAGGCCACATCTGCCCCGCGAACTCGGGACCGGATCAGCCCTGCAGGGGACGTGGACAGGTTGGTGTGAGCCGATTGGCTGCCCAGCCATCCCCACAAAGTCTCTGGGCTCTCTGCCCCTTCTGGAGCTGAGGTTTCCTGTGAGTTACTGTGCCTGCACTTTACTTTGTATTTGTTTGTTTCGTCCCTCTCTTTGTCTCTCTCATCCATCCATCAACCACCATGACTCCAAGATCATTCTCAGAATGCCCTCCGTGTGCCAGGCACTGTTCTGGGCTCTGGGGACACACTGGTGAACAGTGGGAGTTAAGTAAATGGAAATTGCCAATGAAGTGTGGTTTGACAGCAAAGGAGAGCCAGAAACCAAAAGCCTCCGCTGCCCCGACCCTGTGGGAACCTCAGCGTGGTCCCCGGCAGCTGCACCACCACAGGTGACAAGGAGAGAGTCTTCTGGACTAGGACAGGCTGGAGTTAGTATGCCAGCGTCTATGTTCGCCCTAAGCATGTTATTTAACCTCTCTGAGCCTCAGCTTTCTTACCTTGAGATTCAGAGAAAGAGCGATCCCTGCCTGTTGGGGAGAGCACGGGGTGGCGCCCAGGAAGCCTCCGTGGGCTGGGCTCTGCTCTGCTTCCACCCCCATCCCCCCAGACTCACCACAGTGCAGGACAGTCAAACAATGGCCTTGCATTGGTAGCTCCCCGGGCAGGGCTGGGGAATTACCTGGTCAGGAGAGAGGAGGCCCAGCTGGCCCTGCCCCTGACAGAGCGGCCACGGGCGCCCTGTGGGCTGTAGGGACTGAAGGGCCTCAGTCTAAGAATTTGAAACACGAGTTGCTTCTTGGAGAGATTTCCCTGATCACCCCTCTGCCTGGCACTCTGCCTCTATCCATCTGATTGTTCTTCCATCTCTCCGCAAGTCCATCTGTCCCATCTTTTCATTCAATAGGTTGCTATAAAGCACCTAATTTAAACCTCCTTAATTTCATTGCATAAATGTACATCTGTTAGGCAAAACCCCAGGGAATAGCACATTCCCAGACCTACAGGCGCCTGCAACCCTGTACAGTGAGTCTTCACTTAACGCCATAGGTAGGTTCTATGACTTTAAATGAACTGACATATAACAAGGCCAGTTTTTACCATAGGCTAATTAATAGATGCAAGAGTTAAGTTCCTACAGCATCTCATCAACGTTATAATGAAACCACATTATTCAAGGACCTGTCATACTTAGAGATTTCTCTCTGGCCTTTTCTATTCCAGTAAGAAGGTTGCCCCAGCCTGGCTGGTCTTTATTAAATCCGCCCATCACATACATATCTCTCTCTGTCTCTCTCTCTCTCTCTGTCTCGCACACCCACACACACCCCTTCAGTGGCTCCCTGCTACCTGCCTTATCAAGTCTAAATGCCTTTTTCTAGCTTAAAGGCCTCTGTCACCTACTCCGATTCCCCCAGCTGACCAGGCCCAGACTCCCCTGGGAAGGGAGAATAAAAAGGTGGTGAAGAGGCTGGGCTCTGCGGTGAGCCCCTCCCCAGGTTGGAATCCTGGCTCCTTTCCACCTCCCCACCCTGGGAAATTTCAGAACCTCCTTAAACCCAAGTCTCCTTATCTATTGTGAGGACTGACTGAGAAAGCAGAGAAAGTGAACGCCGCCGTACAGGATGCGCACCGGGGAGGAGGGCTGTGAGGAGTCCCTGTGTGCCCACGCCTGCCCGGAGCCTTCGCGTGGAGTCCCCGAGCCGGGAATGCTCCGCTCGCTCCGTGGTCTCACAGCCCTCCCGCCCGCGGCACCAGCGAAGGCCCACTCCCCCGATCACTCCCTGATCCCTCTGTCTCCTCCAGCACCCTCTCCTCCCATCTCCATTCCTCCACATAACAGAACATGTTTTACACTTCTTTTGTGTCCCCTGGAGTACCGAGCACAATCCTGTACTGTCATCCGTGCACCAAACACCTCTTGGTTACACCTGCTTTATGCTGCCCTTTGGTTATTCCAAAGCATTTCCATACAGCCCATCTCATTTCACCCTTACAGTAACTGGGCAAGGCAGAGAGGGGACCATTATTATCCTCATTTCTCAGCAGAGCAACTTGCCCACAGCCACGCTGGGGTAGGGGCTGACCTGGGATAGCAGGAGGGTCTTTCTACAGACTTCGGTTCTTGCTGCAGGAACCTGGGAGGACCATGCTGCTTTGTATGGCATGGTGCCCAAGGGGCGTGGGAAGGTGCGGGGGTTGAGGCCAAAATGGGTCTGCGGTGGCGCCCAGGGGTCCAAGCGCTTACCTTCTCGCCGGTCGTTGCGCAGGCACTTGACCTTAGGGATCCTGGTCAGAAGCAGGCAGTCTTCAGCTGAAGGCAAAAAGAAGGAAACACACTCAGATATGGGCATCAGACCCTAAGAGGTTTGGCCAGTGTTAGAACTGCCATATCAGATCCAGGACATGCGCTGAGAATGGGGAGGCATGGAAGTGCCTGTCACCTCTAGTGGCCAAAGGATTGCCCTGGGTCCCCCACTCCCAGGTCAGACTAAGGACTGCCTGTACTTATGGCATTACCCCCAGGGGCGCCAGAGAGCACCAACACGTCACCAGTCTAATATCCGTGGAGCTAGATTGAAGGGACTGTCTTCTCCCCGAGACAGCTGTAATAAGAAAGCATGCTGCTGATGTTGTTTCAAATTTTAAAAAATGTCTCTCATTGGTGTCCCATTAAAGCAACATCACTCTCTCCTCCTTTAGCACCAAAAAGCAGCACCAGGGAGGGCCCTAGAAAAGAGTGAAAATGCCAGTGGGGAGCAGAGGCCAGCCTGTGACGAAGGCTGGGACAACTTCTTGCCTCAGCACTGCGGGACATGGGTTTTCGGAGGGGTGCAACAAAAGGCGTGTACTTACGATCTGAACTGAAGTCATCCACTAAAATGATCTCCTGGATCAGGTTGGCAGGAGTTCGGTTCAGGACGCTGGAGCAGTGATGGGGACAGAGAAGCCCGGATTTAGGGGCCACCTCCTGTTTGCCTCTCCCTGCCCTGGGGCTCCCCCACCACCCAGCTCAGGGGCCAGCACACTGGCTATGGGCAGCTACTTGCAAACTTCTGGGCCCTGATCCGTGGGGGAGGAGCACTGTGTTCCTCAGCCTCTTCCAAGGACCCGGCTGACCCTGTTGCCTAGAAGGCTAGTTGGGCTCATTTGGGCCTCGTGAGTCAGAAGATGTGTTCTCAGGAAGCCCCCTGATGCTTCATCTCCCACCATCCCTCATCTTCCACTACTCTCTGGAAAAGGAAACTCGAGCCTCTTTAATCCCTGGAATATCACCGGGCACGCCTTTCTGAGTCCTATTCTCATCTAAGTTCATTAAAGAAACAGGTGAGTAGGAGTTAAATTTAACCACAGGGCCAAGCTTAGGAGGGTGGAAAGGACCCTTCTCTCAAAATCACTGACAGGTGCCTAAGGAGCTGGCGTCATCCGCCTGAGGCCTCACGCCCATGCCAGCCTCTCTCGGTTCCTGTCCCCTGCATTTCTGCCCTCCTCCCAAGCACATGACCTTGTGTTGGGCTGTGCACTTCACTAACAGTAGGACTTCTGGGGTCTCCCGGAGCCTGATTCACCAGCCCCAGCTTCTCAGAAGGCAGGACTCCCCCTCCCAGGGCCTGCCTGGCTGCAGCACCTGATCTCAATGTCCTCCCCAGCCAGGTGCCCAGCAGGTCACCCTGAGGCCTTGGGGAGCAGCATGTTGAGGTGAGGGTCCCAGGGCGAGGCTTACCTCTTCACCGTGCGCAGGAGGGTCGATCGGGCTTCATTGTGGAAGGTGATGATGACACTGGTGGCCGGCAGGTCCGCGGAGTAGGACAAGGACGGACAGCTGAGAAGGGAGCAGAGAGGTCAGAGGGCGGCTGTGGGAGTGTCCTCAGGGCAGGCTGTGAGGCTTCTCTTTGTCCAGCCTGCTGCCCCCCAGAATGCCTCTGTGGGACAGAGAAATAGAGCCTGAAGCCAGGATGTGGGCCTTGCCCTCCATACCAGTGCTCCACCCACTCAGGCCACCCAGCTGGGGGACCTTCCCAGGCCAAGAAGCTCTTTACCAAAGTCCTCAAGCCCGGGGGTCCCCACGGTTCCTGAGGCATTTAGGAAGGCTCTGACCACGTGCGGGCACCACACCGGGCCCAGGGCCTGGACCCACAAACAGAGCTCCCTGCTGGATGGAGCAGCCAAGAGACAAAATGGGGTGGGGTGGGGTGGGGTGGCGAGAAACAGCCTCTGTTTTGTCTCTGACACCCCGCAGCTCTTCCTTCTTCTTCCTTCTCGCCCCCTGCCTTCACCTGGGGACATCTGGTATGATCTGGAGAGGAGTCGCCCTCATCCTGGGGCCCATGAATTCCTCCCTTTCACTGGGCACACTAACAGCTGGCTGTTGGCACCAAGCAGGGGAGCGGCCTCCCTGGAGCTCCTGGAGGACACCAGCCTCTAAGACAGCAGAGGCATTTCCTGCCAGCCCCCTCTCTCCCCTGCAGCTCTGGGCTCACCACCTCCAGACACCAGACTTGGCTCACCAACCCCCACCCCCTGCCCCCGCCTCAAGAAAGGGAAGGGAAACACTCCACTCTGGCCAGCCTTCATCCGTCTTTCTGCGAAGGCGTTATTCACACTCCTGGGGCCGGCGGGCAGGCAGCTGCCGCGCTGGTTCTCATGGCAATCTCCTTTATTACAATTGCTCTCTGACTATTCCGGCAGTGACTGTTTTTTCATTACAGCATCCATTCCACTGACAGCAGCTTACAGCTGAATTCCCAGGCCCAATTCTTGCCCTGCCGAGCAGACCAGGTCAGACAGGCAGGGGAGGAGGGCCACCAGACTGGAGCCCCCCTGGGAGGAATCCAAAGAGGCTTCAGAATAATTTTCCTTGAGAGGGGGTGAGGGGCAGGGAAATTCACCTCTGCTGGGCTTCCCGAGTGCCCATCCTCCCAGAGCCATGCTGATGTGTAGTGGGGTGGCGGGTGGGTGGGCTTGGCCTGATGAGGTGAGGAATGCGGGGAGCAGCAGCCACCTCCTGGGCGCCCAGCTGCCCAGCATGGACCTCTAGGGCCCCCGGGTCTCTGGCCTTGAACTCCAACCATCTTGTGCCCATGGAAGGAATCTGGATTGTGATGCTCATTCTCTGCCTGCGGCAGCCGTACCCTATCTGGAGGGTAGGCTCGACCTCCTCTCAGCCACCCCCTCCCACTCCCTCCACCCTGCACTTCTCTGGGACTTATATCTATGGTGATGGGGGGATTTACCCAGCAGCTCCCAGGAGCCAAGAGCCTCTGAAGAGGTTTGTCCCATGCCTGTGTTTTGAGTTTGGGGTTATGGAGCTGTTAGGTCTGTTTTGTGTGGTTTAGGTCTCTCTGCTCCCCGTTGGGGGAGCGCTCCCTAGACTGAGGGCGGACCTGGGATCTAGCCTGGAGTCCAGCAGAGGCAGCAGCCTGGAGAGCCAAGGGGAAGAGAGTGGCTCAGGCCAGCACGCCTGGCTCCACCATGGGAGGTCCTGCCACCAAAGCCAGCACCTCCTTTGATCCCCCTATGCACATGCACACACCCTCGGACATACACACATGCACACACATGCCCTGGGTCCGCCTCGGGCTCCTGAGAGGGCTCTGGGCAGGAGGGAAGGCCTAACTCACCAACCCGCCACTGCCTTGGATTCGAAGTCTCATTTTAAAATGCATGGGTTGCCAAGAGCAATTCCCCCTTTAAGTTCCCCAGTGAACCCCTGAGAAGGTTCCGAGTGGGGCAGGGAGGACAGAGGTGCCGCAGGCTAGCTCTTAATTCACTGCTGTGGGTCAGCGGGCCTGCCAGGCCCTGGGCTCTAGGTCGGCCACGGTCAGGACAGCCCATAAAAGGTCTCCAAGTGGATCTGCGTGAACACAAGCTTGCAGGCCCTGCCACGCAGGCAGAGGAGAGTGGGGATGGCCCCAGGACTGACTGAGAAAGACTTCCCGGGGTCTGAACTAGCCTTTAGACCTGGGTGGGAAGCTTCCTGAGGGGCAGGATTGCCCTACTTGGGAGAATGAATTGTTCCTGGAGGCCAATAGTGCTGGGGTTAACAGGGAGGACGGTCTGGGGCTCCCCTGCCTCTGCGTCCTTCCCACCCTGCATAGGCTGCCAAGCCCACCGGACTTCAGGCGCACCTCCACGAGTGACAAGGAAGGTGCTAAAAGCAGGTCCCCTTTTTCACCCTTATCTCACGTATGTCTTTTGTTCTGCCAAGTAGCTGCTTTGGAAGAGAAGCAATGGACCTGAGTCTTTCTCCCCTATCCTCCCACCAGGACCAACGTGGCTCTGGGTTCATAAGCTGGGCCCAACGCAGCCCACGCCGGCCATTCAAAGCTGCAGGCACATGGGTGGCTCAGCTCCAACAGCTCCTTGCTGTTCTGTTAGGTCGATCAGAGCGGAGGAGGCCCCCTAACCAGCCTGGGTTGGCAAGGGACCCTTCCCGGAGGAGAGGACGCTGAGGGGAGCCTTGAAAGTGTGCGTGTACGTGCGGGGGTTCAGGAGAGGAAACTGTGTAAAGACGAGGAGGAGGCAGGAGAAGCACAGGACTGGGGAGCAGTAAGTCCTAGGTGAAGCGGTACACAGGGCCCAAGCGGGGGAGGGGAGGCTGCCACTCCAGGGTAAGGAGCTCAGACCATTTCAGAAGTGAGGGCAGGAAGAAGAGAGACCGAAGGTGGCAACTCATGAGAGTTAGACAGGACACAACAAGGGCCTGAACCAAGAGGGGGCTGATGACTTGCCCAAGGCCGGTCATTCACACTGAGCAGAGTCAGAGCTGGGATTAGCGTGGAAGGCGCCCTTGGTTCTGGGCTACAGCCTCCCCCAGCTACCACCCTGAGAGAACTAAAGACAAGACTGGGAAGTGTGTCTGGGAGTTTCAAGGAAGTGAGGGCAGTGGGGCCGGAAGAGTGGAAGGAAAGGGGTGTTAATGGGGCATGCATGGCCCCACGGTCTGCACAGTGTGGGCAGGGCTGGCGGCCCCTCTTCAAGTCAGGCACCACCAGCCGGGCACCAAGGATGACCTGGTTTGCCCACTCCCTTGGAGCTCCTAGTGGTCCCCTGGCAGGTCACTCTCACTGGGACTTCAGACAGAGGTGCTGAGGGGCCTCCCTGGTCCCAGCTGGGAAGTTCTCTTTTGTCAACTGAAATAAACAGGTCTCAGGTAAACAACTGAGGGTGAGGGTTTGAAGGTCTCAAAAAGTAGACTGAGTCTGAGGAAATTGTCCTCATTCCTTAAATCCACGTGACTGGAAAAAAAAAAAAACCCAAGCTCACTGGGGTTGGCCCTTCCCCCCACCATTCTTTCTCCATTGGCACAATGGAGGCCACACCTGTAGTGGCGGGTGTCCCGGATGGGCCGGTCTGAGCTCAGTTTGTCGCTCTCCAGCTGGTTGAAGGCGTGCTGCCTGTAGGGGTCCTCTCCGGCCTTCAGCTGCTTGGCCGCCAAGTACGCCTTCTCATCAAAGCCTCTGGAGGGTGTTCCTGTCACCTGAGACAAAGGTCAGCATCAGAGGGGCCCAGGATAAAGTGGCCACTGTGTGGTTAGCACTTACTACCAGACAGGAGCCAACTGCAAGACCTCATTTGACCCTGACCCCAACTCTGGGAGCATATCATTATCCACCGCCCCCCACCCCGGTACAGATGAGGAGACTGAGGCTCAAGAAATCAAAAACAGTATCAGCATATGTGTGGCAGGGAATATGTGGGAATCTTTGTACTTTCTGCTCAATTTTGGAAACCTAAAACTGCTCTAAAACAACAGAAAGCCCATTTTTTTAAAAAGACCAAGGTCAGAGCTAGTAAGTCACAGGTTCTGAATTCAAACCAGTCGTTTTAACTCTGAAACCCAAATCATCGAGCACTTCTGTGTGCTGGCTATGGAGAAGGTGACTCTAGAGCACACCAGACCCTCAAGATGCAGTGTCCTGAAGAAATCGCCAAGGAGGTTGGAAGGTACCAAGCTACCAGAAGATTGACAGTCTCTTAGGGGTCAACTTGGGCCTGACACTGGGTCAGGTGTGATCAGTAAAACACCCAGGGCTTAGACCAGCTGCTACACAGAGAACTACCTGTGAGAACAAGCAGGTTCTCAGAGGCTTATGCCAGAAGTGCCAGGAGTCAAGTGCACAGACAATGATGCATCTTCTCAGGGACCTGTGCTTGCTGCCCAAATAGCCTCGTGTCAGACCTACTGGGTCCACGGGTGCTAAGTGCTGGGGAGTAATGGATGACAGCTGCCATGGCTCAGCCTCCCCGCTCTTAGCCACACCCTACTTTGCGGTCCCAAAGTCCCCCCATGAAAGACACGGGAAGAACACATCTGAGATGAATGAATGGATCCCGACATCTCATCCTTTGAACCTAACTGCTGGCCAGACATTCCCCAGAATGCCTTGAAATATCATCAGCTGTGAGTGCTTCCTGACTCCAACTCTTCCACGTGACCAGCAGTCTGGGGTAGAGCTGTGGGCACACAGAGGTGGCAGGAAGACGGATGAGAACTGTCCATGCACAGAGCCCCTGCAAGAGGGCTCTGTCACAGGCGTGGTCCCGAGAGAGGTGGTCCCAGGAAGGCCGCTGGGCCTGCGGGACAGAAAACCAATGTGTTGGGTGAGGCTGGGGAGCATCCGCCAGCAGCCCAGAGCCTCCGTGGTCCCTGGAGAGCATAGCCCCCAGCCTCACCAGACAGGAACTCAGGAGGCTCCAGGGAGCACTGCTCTCCTTAAAGGGTGCCGCTCCGGAGTGTTCCGCCTCCATTTGTACCCTGTGCTTGGAGCCAGTCCCTGAGCTCCCGAGGTCAGAACCACCAAGGGAGATTTCCTGGTGTTGCCACTGGGCCAAGCCAGCCCCGTGCTACACGCAGATGTTTGTGGCCTCTATGCTCAGGGTGGTGACAATGGTTCGAGCTGCCACACTGTGATATTCTGAGTTGGTGCCATGCCAAGGGCTGGACAGATGTAGCAGAGCTCCCATGGGCTCAAAATCCATTTCAGGAAAGACTGAAGGAGGGAAGGAGGGAGGGCAGGAGAATATTCTGATGTGACCTGTGAACAGCTGGAAGGTCCTAGGCTGTCCTACTTTAAGAGTGAGAATGAGAGACCCTGTGTGCCCTTCCCTCTGGGAAAAGAACAGGTGTCAACCCTTCCCCTTGTCCTTCCAGCCCAGGGTTAGGGAGATGGAGAGCAGCCTCCAGCTGATGGCTGAGGAGCTAAAATAAAAGAAAAACTGCAGAAGCTCCCACAGGGAGAGTATGCCGCTTAATTACCCTTCAACTGTGGGGAATAACATCTATTTATTTAGGACTTAAGGTCACTCTGTGACCTCACACTCACCCATCGCCCAATAAACACTGACAGAGAGCCACCCATTCCCTGTGCCCTGGGGCAAGCTCCTGGGGGTTCCTGTGCACCAGAGCATTCATTCATTTGCTTACAAATGCTTGAATTCACTCACTCATTCATCCTTCCACCCATTCATTCAACAAAGCTCTGCTGAGCACCATCCACGAGTCAGGGAGCGGAAGGAAGGTTTCTGAAACGGTTCCCTGGTGCCCAGCCTGCTGCCTTCCTGCACCTCCTTCAAAGCTTCCTCAGGGCCACGGAAAACGTTGTGGAAGGGCGCCTGCTCCGGCCAAGGTGCTTTAGAGAAGTTCCTCTTAGAGCCTCAGGACTGAGCTCAACATCCCAAAGATGATGTCAGGAAACATCTGCTGCTCCCGCCCACCGGCCCACAGCCCTGGAAGGTCCAACCCTCCTCCAAGGTTAGGCCCGTCACCGGGGAGACAGCCTGTGAAGAAGGGTGCCACGGGAACACCAGGCCCACCTCCTCCCAGAGCTGTGTTCACATTGACCCAGCAGTCCCTGGGGTTTGGAGCGGAAACATCGTTTGGCCCTGTGCCAGCCAAGTAGAAGGAATACTGAGGAAGGACGGATGTGGCCTCCGCAGGGCTGTCACCTCTCCAGCCAAGCGCCTCCTGGCCTCACGCCAGTCACCGCCCAGTGCTCTTCTTCCTGGGGTATCTGGTCCCAGTTCCCACGCCCGTACTGCAGCTCATTTCCTTCCAGCTCTCCAACTCGCCTTTCCCTTTGGCCCTGTTCTTTGATCTAGAGACTGCCAGGCCGTTGAATGTCCCACAGGTACCTCTAACTCAACACCTCAAAACGAATTCCTCACTGGTCTCCACAGCAGCTGCTTCTCCTGCACTGCCCATTGCAGAGATGGGCAGTCCCATCCTCTGGGTCCTCCAAGCCACCAGCCCAGGGGTTGACCTCCCCATGCTGCACAGCCTGATTTAGACCCCTGCCCTGGGTATCCACAAGTAGTGTCCTATGGGCATTAGTATTAAAAATAGTGACTGGAAGTCTCGCATGTGCAGATGCTGTGCAAGAGGCCATGAAGACAGAAATAAACACAAAGCAGTATGGTCCTCAGAAGAGGAATCTAGAAATCTGGCCCCTTTCCTCTGCTGTTCCATGTAAGGTGGGCCATGGAGGATAACAAAGAAACCCCCCCGTCCCCAACCTCGGGGCACAGGTAGCTGGAGAGCCAGCCACGGAAGCACACCCCACCCCAACCGCAGCTGGGGCAGGAGTGTGGAAAGGGCACAGGTGCCATGGACGGGGTACCCGTGAATGCTGTTCCCCTTCTCCCCATCCTAAAGGCTATCCTCCGTTCCCGCCCACGAGGCTTACTTAGCATATCAGCATGGGAGGGGTAGATGCATCCTTTGGCTCTAGGCTGTGGGACCACGAGGAGCTATATGTGGATCGGCCCAGAAGCCCTGAGGTCCTGGGCTTGGAGCCACTGAGGGGATTTGCACTGCTGCCCATTCTGCGGGGGGTGAGGGCACTTGAGGCTGTGGAGTTTTCATATCACATGGTGCTGACATCTACATTTACTTCTCTTTCTTTTCCACTAGATGGTGGGCTCCTCATTTTTGAGCTCCCAGCACCTGGCATTACAGTAGGTATTGAGGAGGAGTTTGCTGAATAAAGGAATGAATGAGCGAGTGAGTAAATGAATGAATGAATGAATACCTAAATATTGTCTCTGGCTCTCAACTTACTGATTATGGATTAAGGAGAAAACAAATTGGAGCCTCTGCCACTGCGCGTGACTTTCCATGGCTTTCACGGTCCCACAGGGTACAAGCCCTGGAGCCCGCAGTGGACTCATAGTCAATACCCTGTTACCCAGCTGGACTCAGCTTGTCCCCTCCCTGATTCTGCTCCAGCAACACTCACTGCCTTATATTCCTTGAGCTGGCTGGCACCCTGCTCCTTAGCCCTTTTGCTCCTTCTGCCTTCTCTCTGGAAGGCTCTTCTCCCAGATGTCTGCATGGCTCCCTCCTCACCCCCTGCAGGGTTCTGCTCAAATGTGGTGTCCTCTGTGGTGCCTTCCCCACCACCGTCTGTGACCCCAGCCCCACCCTCAAATTCCCTATCCTCCTGTCCTGCTTTGTCTTTCCTCATAGAGCACTGTGCACCATTGTAGTGTATTTTGCTTATTTATCTTTTTTATTGTTTCTTCCCTTAAGAGTATAAGCTTCACCAGGACATTAATTATCTATTCCGTTCAATGCTGGATCCCAAAGATCAGAACAGTGCTTGAGTGATCATGGGATGCAGAAACAATGGCTAATGAATACATGAATGATGAGCCATCCTGACCTCAAGCATCCTGCGCACCAGTTCCCCACACACACTCTTGGCTAACACACCACTTGGGACTGAGGTGGACCAAGGAGATGGCAAAGTAGGTTTTGCCTGCTTTGGGATCTTCTTGACCACTCACATGCTCCTGGCAGGGCTGTCAATCACTGTCCCCTGTCCAACCAACACCTTGATCACAACCACAGGGGTGGGCACAAGACCCAGGCTAGGCTAATCCTGTCACTGCACCCCCCCCCCCCGCCCCCGCCAACACAGGGACTGGTTCAGGAATGGTCCCTTGACTCACTCTAAGCCAATCAGAATCGTCCCGGAGACTTTCCTATAAGGTGAGCTCTTTTTGTCAGTGCTGCTAAGTTTGACAGGCAAGGATCTTTTTTCCAGTTGCATGGAGAAAGCTTGTCTCTGTAATGTACAGTGTGGTGGCTATAGTTGACAATATTATATTGTACAATATATGTAAAATTTGCTAACAGTAGATCTTAAAAGCTCTCATTATAAGAAAAAACTTTGTAACTATGTGTGGTGATGGATATTAATTAGGCTTATTGTGGTGATCATTATGTAAAATATATAAATATTAAATCATCGTCATATATCTGAAACTAACATAATGTTGTATGTCTATTATATCTCAATTAAAAAAATTAGAAAAATATTGCCTGGAGAATGAAACCAAGAAGAAACAATCAGAGCCAAGAGATGGAAAGAAAGAGCTCTAATGATACTGTTTTGGGTCCCTTGAGTCAGTCATACCTATTCCAAATTTCCTTTACCTATCTATCTATCTATCTATCTTTCTATATCTATTTTCTTA